ATGATTAATATGTCAATATTTTATTATGTTGGAAGTGTTTTCAATTGAAATCCATTTTAGTTTGTTGCGTAGACGTAGTTTTAAAAGCGTTATGAAAACTGCTGCTAACGAAGAACCGTTCTAAGGTAAAGGGGAACTTAAATTTGAATGCAAACGTCAAATGACAATGACAGTAATGCCAATGTAGGTGATAACGGTGAGTGGTGAGTGGTGAGAAGGCCGTTTAGAGGACGACCAGGCGAGACACATCGTACGAGGTACACTCGAGATATCAACACTATCAGTAGCCAAAAACATCACAATAAATCCTCGAACCACTGTTCAGTCATAGACGTACGCATACCGTCAATATGTATTTAACTGTAACATCTGTTATCGATATACTGTAGAACATAGTTGATACTTAGCTACAGTTTAACACACTCGATAGTATAGAATCAATATAAAGTCTATACTGTACAGTATACAGCCAGTGCGAGTGCGGTGTCTGGTGGGCAACGGCGCGACGCGGCAGCCGGCGCCAGAACGAAAGCGGTCGCTATCGCCACAAAGTAGCTAATCAAGTAGCTAATTAAAAATTGATTGTTTGCGATGACGTCACCTCGTGACGACGCCGAGCAGCACATCGCACAAGTAAGTGAACCTGAACACATCAACAACACGTTGGTTGGATACGTTGTTCAACCAATGGCATGGACTCGAAATTCAAACCAAACAAACTTGTTTTGCAAGACCAGCTATACGTAATAAACAGACTGTAATAATTGATTTTAACTGTTCCAATACTTAACGAATCTGAAATACGACATTCCCCTAAAATACCGGGTGTAAGGCAAATACTGATACCAAATAAGAGACTACCTATGTTTAATGTTTTGTATATGTATTTAAAGCTTAAATTCTCAAGTTTTATTAGAAACTCGATATAAGCACCATTAGTAACCCGGCATAAATCTAAGCGAAATTTGACCTCTTCCCAGGTAATGGTCAGTGCTTCAGTGGATGTTGCACCAACACATTCGACTATTCTCTGTCGGAGGTGATTCAGATCCCGAATCTGCACCAAGTAGACATCATTCTTTAATGCCCCCCCCCCCCCCAAGGAAAAAGTCCAGAGGAGTCATATCTGGACTCCTAGGAGGTCATTGGACCACCAATCGTAGAAACGAGTATCCAGCGCTCCTCGTACACTTGCAAACTGTAGTGTGGCGGCACTCCGTTGAAAATAAACAGGGCCATTCCCCATCTCAATGTCACCCAACTCTGGGAAAAATACCCATCTAACATGTAACACTAAATGGCGCCGTTTATATCCCCTGAACAAAACCTGGGAAGAGGTCAAATTTCACTTAGATTTATGCCGGGCCACTAATGGTGCTCATGCTTTACTAAGTTTCTAATAAAACTTGCGAATTTAAGCTTTAAATAAATATATAAAACATTTAACTTAGTCCCTTATATTTTGTTATCAGTATTTGCCCTTAAAATGCTTCAGTTCTTTTTCGGACACCCGGTATATTACATGGAATCACAATTTACAGCATACGTAACATAATATTCGTGTACGATGAGATGTGAGTGAACCGTTAGACACACGAGGATTTGGGAGGCATGATTTGTAGGGGAACCCAGATTTCAAGAGGGTCGTCGCTGCGCCTTATTATTATTATCGGGATTGGGCTGAATTACACGGCGCAGACGGTTTTTTTGGGCCCCAATTGTTTGATCGAGAGCTACGGCTAGACTGCCCAACCCGTCTAAATTAAGCCAATAGCAGGGTAAGACTGTAGCCTACGGGATAATTGTTATAGCATTCACAGTTTAGTTCTAACTCCGACTTACGGTAAGAAATAAAACTAAAAGTGGATAATTTGTCCTGGTACGAAATAGGTCTACGCCGGTATCTTAGCACGGTGTATGTATAAACAGTGTTTTCCCTAAACTAATATATTTGAAGCCACATTTATTTTAATTTTCAAATAATTCCATAATGATTTGGTTTATTAATTTTTTTTATAGCAACCCAGCAGACGCACAGGCAGCTTGCCTAGGTCTGCTGATTTTCTTAAAAAATAAATCAATAAGTTAATACAGAAATGTCCTTTTTATGTTAGTTTTAGTTTATTTTTTGTAATCGTTACGTATAAAAGTATGTATTTTATAAATCTGTATATTATGTGGAAAATAAACATATTATTTCATTCATTTACACCCTGGTGTTCTACCAATACGTTCAGTCAACAACCCACAAGTAACAATCAATTCGTTGTTTTAAGGTCATTTTAAATTATAATTAGTTAACTTTAAACAAGAGATTATTACTGACATTTCCCATCACGATAGGTAAGACGTCGTGAAAACGTAGCTTTTTACTTATCACGACGGAAAATGTTCGCGTCCGCTATAATCCCGTGGATAAAATAATAATCAAGTTTGCTATTCTGTTATTCTGACCAATCCTCTAATGTGGAGTATGGCTTGGTGTGTTTACCAAATTATTCGGTTGGTGTACAACTTTTGTGACTATAATATCGAACTATTTGGGGTAATAGAACTTCGCACAATAGGTAGGCCTGTTGGTTTAGGTTTGGGGGTAACTGAAAAGTAAAACTCTTCAAGAAGTACATTCCCATGTATTGCACTATTGCGTGCAACGCGCGTATTCAGCATTAGTGGAGGATCCTACCTACGACATGTGTCTGTTTTGGGTACCAGAATGCGACCCGAACATCTTTAACACACTCCTCACTTTCCTCAATCCTCCTTTCTGTTGTTTCTGAGAATATTACGGCCTACACTGCATGTTGCATACCACTGCATCTGCTAATATTTACTATTCGACGAATTAAACACGGCTGCACTTATGGATCTGTCAATCAACTGTTAATATGCCTACAATACATATTTTATTGTCTAGGTCATACACTTTATCAAATGTTTCCGACAGTTTTGCGAACACTATAACTCGAAGTAAGAATAAAGCGTAGGCCTAAGTTGGAAAGTTTTATTTAGTACATAATAATGAGTAATGTAAAATATAGCAGTCTCACTTGAGCCCATCATCTAGTGGAGACGTGTCCACAGAGTTGCGTCAACCCTCTATTTTTTCTAGTTATTGTTTTCTTTCAGGGGTTTGTTTTCTTGTTTTAACTACTATACAGATGTCTCAGTGTTTTTGTGATTTCCAACGTAAACGTTGGCTGGGTTTGTGAACTAATCTTGTAATGGTAAGGTACTTGCCCACCTGAGGATGGCATCAGATTCTGGATCACAAAACGTCGAGAAAACTTGTTTTTTTCTAATCTGGATGAAAAATGGTCAGAAATAATGTCATAAATCACCTAAACAATAATTAAAGTAGATTAGTTTGTAGTTATAGATTTTATTCTGACTTGAAAAAATACGTATGGCGCGTTTAAAAGTTGTCGTGAAGTAGTAGAAAGTGGAGCGGCTTCTGGGGGGCCTTTTGGGTCGCAGTCTGAGCGGTCCCTCGTGTACGGTTTGGACGGTTCCCCGTAGGCGGCCGTGGGGGAACCTGAGTCAGTGACGCGTTGACTGGCTCCTAGGTTCCAGGCGTAAACTCACATTTTCGACATAGAGCTAGATCTGCAACCTTACCAAAGCCACCCAAACAGTGGTAGGTTGCCAACAAAACTTAAGAGTAGGCAGCGAAGACAACGGAAAATTACATTAAATTGGTCCGTTGCCTCACCACCATTTCAGAGTTTAATGGTAATGCGTTAATTGTAATGGTCTATTCTGTATGGAAATACCTACGGTGCAACAAACACTTAATAAACAATTAGGAACAGTTTATTGAAACTATGAATAGTAAGAAAATTTGGATGAAGTCAGTGGCGGTTCTAAGGGGGCAGCTATAGGGGCTAAAGCTCCCCGCCCCGATTGGTCCCTAAAATATAAATGTAAACATACATTTCATACGTTATACATATAAGTTATACATTTCATCATAAAAACATAACGGAGGTTTTTGGACACAGTTCTAGACGTTCAAAATAGCAAATTGTCCAGGGTGGGGGCCCAGACCAGCCTTCTAGTGTGGAACGCCCCCATTAGCTCCCCCTTGTCAAGGTCCTAGAACCACCACTGGATGAAGTTAAACATCCCACACGAAAGACAAATATTTCCCACGCTGTTATCATCTCGCAACACATAAAAAAAATGAATTGGCAACAAGTAAGCAGTTCACTGTTCGATTTGAAAACCATGGAAACACACAGTTGATATAAAATCACACAGGGAGCAAAAAAACCTAGGCACTAAAATATACATTTAAAAGTTTCAAATAAACGCGTGTCAAAACCGTCAAAACTGGAGCGCGTAGATAACATACATTAGAGGAAGACGCTATACAGATACAGCTGGCCATAGCCATGTAAATGGACGACCGTCTACTGTCCTGTCAACTGGTGCAAGTAAGTAGCAGAGTGGGTCTCAAGTGGTCATCTAGAGATGGACAGCTGCAATCTGACACTGACAATTTGACCTTCAACACTCCAATACACAATAGCTCATGGAGAAACCCTATTGCGGATTGACACTTGCAAGCATTTCGTAATGGCTTCGTTTTGAGATCAAAAGTGAGTAATTCGTCTCTGTTTTGGCGTGTTTAAAGCGAGAGGTCTCAACGCTGGTTACTTTCTTGGCGTCACCGCGCTGTTATAGAAATCACCGTTAATCGACCATGTTCATCTAGATTCGAATTTGAGCTTCTAGTCAGGATTTGGTGACCATTAGATTATCAGGTGGTCATTCTTTTATGCCGCCAACCCTGTTCGTTTTGCATTCATCTTGGAGGCATACTGAACCAACTGAATCAAGGTACGTTTTTATGTAGAGGAATTCCATTTCGGTCATTCTATCTATGTAATACAATTGTACAGAATAAAGGTATTCTGGTTAAGTAGCCTCAAAAGACTTGACCGTTGTTTATATAGTGTATTAAAAGATATAAATTGACTAAGTATCTGGTGTCTTACCTTCAGTGGTGAGTGAACAGCGTGATCCGCCGCCTTCGCTCGGGGCTCGGTCTGCAACATTGTTAGTACTGTACTGATAAACTACATGGCAACAATTAACTAATCTCAATTAACTAACAATTAATTAATCTCAATTATAATCATGCAGCTTAGTATGCTTTCGACTCTTTCAGTTCGGTTACAAAAACTAAAGAACAACACCATCACAAGTTTTAACATTTATTATTGGTTTTGCCTTATCCTAAAAACGATTTGTCTGCCATTTCAATTTAGTACCCAGTGCTAAAAATGTTAATTTTCTTGAGTATATAGCTTCTGGTAGTCAAAGAATTATCCGTGCTGATTTATTTACCATTGCATATTGGCAAATGCTGAGCTTTTACAGTAATAAAGGTCGCGTTACTAGTATAATTTTGCTATTAATTAACATATTTCAGGTGGTTCCTTTGATTTTTTTGCTTGGATTGTGATGTGGGAGTAATGGACTGTATAAACTGAAAAAAATGTACAACACACTGAGTAACAGAACTACTGTCAGTATTTCAACTTTGTCGAACCAGCGGCGACTTCTGAATTCAGCAAAGCTTTTCCAACAGTAATCCGGAAAGAATTGGAACAGCTGAGAATACCTGGTGCAATGAAAAAAAAGACTCGATTTGACAAAAAAGTTTAACAAAAAAATACAGTCCTAATCAAGAGCATTGAACTGAACGGTTGTACTAATGTACTTACTTCAATGCGAAATACACATTCCGTATATAATCTACTTAAACGCTCATTCGAAGAGTCCTAAGAGTCATCTACACCCTGTCCTATATTCTGTACACCTCTACTTGATTAGAGCCTCTGCTAGGTCCTACATTTGGCTTATTCTTCAACTTGGATTTCCCGATGACTTGGAATGATCTGATAGTCTATCACGCCGTGCGACGTGCAGCGTGCGGCAGTCGCGCTGGACCATTGCGTAACTGCAACCAAGGCCAACTCACTTAATCCGGGCTGGGCAAATCACACGCTCTCGAGAAACCAGTTCCCTCCCGCGGTCCAAAAAGTTTGGAATTCCTCCGGGTGGCGGTATGGACCTAGTATCTTGGCGTACCGACGCGGCGAGCCGTTACAAGGATATTGGGAAGCTTGGTCAAATTGTCTAATGCGGTGGAGAAATATACAATTGGCTACATCTGAGTATGTGAAATCAAAATATTAAAGCATAGAAGAACGGTGTTTTAATAGCTTCGAGGATTAGAAAAAGATTGGCCAAATTTCCCAATGCGGAAGAGAAGTATGGAATACGCTGCATGTATTGTTTAAACAGATGAGTTGACAAATACTTGAAGAAGAGAACCGGCTACTCAGCAAAACATGTGTCAGCGAGATACTGTAGACACATGAGCAGATTCGCAATGTCATCTAATAATATCGCGATGTCTTTAAGATCGATTTAGTTATAGTGGAGGTGCAAATGTCACCTTGGGTAGAATTGGGGAAATTTGATACATTATCTATTCAACTTATGAAAAATGGTTTAATAAAAAACGCCTATTCATTTCATAAAATGATTGGTAAAGTAAATAAATAAAACACGCATTAACTAAAGCAAAGCGTATTTTGCCTTAAGGCACTCTACAAACTCTCATCGACGTACATAAAATAATTTCAAGTGACACGTGAATCGCCCACCATTCCTGGAGCACTGACCAACTGTTGCTAACTGTATCTCGTTGCTGTAGTGGTACTGTATCCAGGAACGGCGACATTTGGGAATCGCCATAAAACCCCCTTACCATTAGATAAAGAAATTATACACATTTAAGTAAAGTATAGCTTTGACTATTAATACAACAACTAGGCATTCCATCCCCATGTTAAAGTTGTAGCCAGGTTTTTAATACAATTTGTTTTAGTTGATGTGAGCCACCTACAGATTGCGCTGATCTAAATTACTGATTTCTGCTGATTACACGATGGTTTTTACCAAGTCAAACTGATGGAATGACTTATTATGAGCTATAGCAACTGTTGTGACCCAGCAACTATGTCAGTAACAAAAAATAAGGTACAAAATAGAGTTTTAGATACTAGCGCAATCTGTGACTGGCTCGCACAACTACATTCTTTTTAGTAAAAATTTGGCGACAGCTGATCCATATAGATGGGATGTCTTCTTCTGTATCCAATAGTCAATGGTTATAGTTACTAATTATAGTAATTGGCGGAACGTCTGAGTGTATAATGTACTATTTATAAATTAAAACAAATATGCTACATCCAGTCATAAACATAGTGAACACATTCAAAAGAGCAAAAATAATTCACCTAGAGAACGATGTAGAACCATCCTAGATGCAAATGTTTGCGTAATGTACGTAGGTAAGCTATCTACGCCAAAAATACTATGAGTGCATAATAAAGCTAAAACTTAGCTTTCGTTTATTATGTAAAATTTATATGGAAAACTGCGATTTATTTAGGTGTCGGAGTTCCGGGCCTATGAGTGTAGGATAATCGAGATTATCCAACTGTAACTGTGTAAAGGAGGATTTGCGAGTGTTTTTGGTGATGTTTACTTGTTGAGTCACGTCGCGGCGGCGCCATGAGCCACATCACGTTAGGTAGGTAGTGTAGTCTAAACAGCGACCATCAGGCACCAGGCACCAGGCACCATCTACACTACACATACACACCAAACCAGCAGCGAATAGTATCTCTGACAAAGTCCGCGGCAAACTTTTCAGTTCTAAAATATTTCCTAAAATCATCAGATTTATTTGCTATAAATAACATAAATTTTAACGATTGCTTATATATAGGTTTGCTACTACAGGGAAAGTAATAAACTGTTTTTATTTAATTGTTAAAAGCTTGGTATGAAGAAATAGTTATTTGTGCAACTAGTGAGAAAAGTGAGCAATTGACTCACTCGAGAGAAATCCTTACTCACGAGCCGTAGGCGAGTGAGGAATGGTTTCTCGAGTGAGGCAATTGTTCTTTGAACTCGAGTTGCACATTATACTTTTCCTACAGTTACCATAAAACAAATAAATTGGTGAAGAAACATAACCTATTTTTACACAGAAGTGAACTTTTAATATAACATTTAATGTCAAGTGACAAATACGACAGTACAACAGCTGACCAGCTGATTTACAGCCAGTGCTGCCAACGTTTTTCTCGCGCATACGACGTTGCCTGCATGTTACGCGCTCACTATTTCGTGCCTTCACGTTGCAAATCTGGACTGAGACAAAGTAATTAGAGTGAGACAATGTTAACATGTTAACATTGTCTCACTGATGAGCGAATTGGCCACTTTGCTTTCTCAAATCAGTGAGAGAACATGTACATTGTTAGGTAACTGTACGAAAACTTGCCAAATTTGATCAAAATACAGTATATCCATAGACAAGCAAACTCCGTCAGTTTATTTATTCTTTATTCTAATAATATGGGGATATTTAATTTACATTTGTTTACCTTTCTCCGTAACTGTTAGGCGTACAACAAATTATACTAATTATCGATATACTGTAAAATAATATTTATTTTTAACTTATACAAAATAGTTTAGAGAGAAATTGCATATTTATGTTTTGGAGTTCAAAACTGGAAACCCCCAATTATACCTGATACATTCTCTCATAGCTTCCATTTCATAGTCCGATTATGGTTGTTCGCAAACTAGTTAAAATATAGGTTTACATGTTTGTACCGAATTTAATCACATCATTTTACGTTACCGTGCTAACGTATATGAAAGTCAATGATTTATTGTATCCAATATCATATAACCAACTACCTAGTAGGCTATGTAGGGTTGGAAATATACAGAGACAGTCGGTAGTTAAACATCATCAAAGTTGTTTTCATCAAAGTATCTCTGAATTCCACATTACCGGATAATTAGAAGATTTGTTACAGGTTAGGAGATTCAAATTTACGAAGGACCTTCTTGAATGTACAGTATAAGGTGTTTTAAGAGGTACGATTCTAGCCTAGAGGTTAGCGATCGGAATAGTGAGAAATTACGGGAATATTCGATCCCCTTTCATAGCGTATGTGATTTCATCCAAAACCTCCTTCTGCTAAGGCTTTTGATTGATTTGATTCCCCAAACGCATATGTTTAAAATTTTACTGGTTAAAGATGAACCTTTGCATTTGTATTTGTTACGTGTAATGAATTAGGAAATGGTTTTTAGGCGTTACACATTATATAATCACCTGTTAAAATCATGCACTGTCTCATTGAAAATAGTACTTAAATATTTGTTAACATTATAATAATGTAAATGGTATACTCACTGAATTTCATGTTAATTAAAACAACTAGATTATTCCATGTAGGGTTGTTCATAAACTAGTTTCTACTGAGGACTTAAATTTCTACAAGAGAATATCGCTAGTATCTATATCACGCTCCCTATATACACAAAAGAAACAACGTCAGGCCGATATAGGAAGCGATATAACTATTTTCAGCTACAAGTCATGAATTTAAAAAACAGTGTGTTTGAAATGACGGCACATTAAAATAAAGCTTTTAAATCCGATGTTAAAACTGACCGAAATAAATGTTGGGTTTCAGTGGTTTTAGTAAATATCTATACGGTAAATATCGCCCCTCTTTATCAATTATAAATAGGTATGGATCTACTTTACCTTCATTTCAGGGTTTTCAAATTTTTGCTAGTGGAAGTTATACAAATAAATGGTGTCTTCCAAATTAATGAAATAATGAGTTTATTCCTTCAAAACAAATAAATACAAAATTATACATTTTCTTGGAACTACGTTGCCACATTATCCAGTAATCGTGGCAAACGTAAAACAAACCAAAAAAAGACAATTATATTTACAACTTAGTGAGTTTAGTCTCTTCACTTGAAAAATACAAGTTGCCGCTCTCTGTGGCGTCTTAAGTATTACAGAAATGCAGATTTTGACTTGTTATGTTTATTTGATCGTAATTCTCACGATCGTAATAAAATGCGATTGTCGGCAATAGTTGAAAACAAGTTGTTGCCTTTTACATTTTAAACTATCTAATAGGAC